TTATTGATAATATGCTTAGTGATATTTGACCTATGCATTGGTATATTAGCAATTTCGAAGGAAAAGTCTCTTCTTTTGTCATAAATATTAATGGAAAAAACTCCAATCGTTGTTAGCAAGCATCCAGTAACAGGAGAAGCATAGAGCTACTACCTACTCAAGTGTGTGCAGTGATACTCATCCACAATTTCCCATGACATTAAGTAATGAAATTTCCTTTCCTGAGTATTTCCCTTTTTTACACTTTGTTTTTCTTTTAGGATCTTTGAAATGAATCACTAGGTTTGTATGAAAATTAAAGAAAAGTAAGGGAAAAATTACTAACAATGAGAAAAGAAAAATTATCCAATCTCAAGGTCAACATGAATTGCCTGATATTACCCCTCCTTTCCTCATCTCTACCATTCCTCACCTTGTCCATACCTATTTCCCTCAATGACCACACTCTCCCCATACCCGTTCCACCCCCTTCCACACTGATTCCTCACGCGACTCACAGCCGTCCACACGATATCCACACCATTCCACATCCGTTCCACCGTGTGGATTCACCAAGACCTTGCCCCAATAAAGTGTATTTTTGTCCCGAATACACGGCGAAATGTATATGCACTTGCATAGAAATGGTTCCGTTTCGGACAAAATGTCCCGATAAACCGGCTGTCCCATTAACTGATGGCCCAATTAAGCGGAATCCACAAGCATATTTTATAGAATTTCGAGATGGTTTGCTACAAAATCTTTTGAGATGAACCAAACCAAAATGTTGGTCGTGGCTCTTTATTCAATTTTTTCCACATCTATCAATGACATGCTCCGGAAGTAAATTTCTTGAACGAACTTGCACGGTCTATATGAGATATATTGTTTACTAACGTATACTGTAAAGCTATGATCGTTGGTAGCATGCACGAAGCTCCAGAAAAGAAATTCCAGGAAATTTTGGAACGACTCTCCTTGAATAGAATATATGAGGGCGGATGCGATGGAGTTAGAGCCACGAGGAAAAGGCAACATTTTGATGCAATCATGGATAAAGGATTTCTCGTTATGAGAAATGGAAAAAATTATTGTTCCATTCTGACTTCCCTTTCATGGTCCAACCTCTATTATTCTGCTGATCCTAGGAAAATGCCATGCCGCATGAGGGGGAGCAGCAGATATCTGAAATATCTTCTAATGAGCCTTTATTCAGCAGACCCACGGTCTCCGACATATCTAAAAAAATCGTGTTTTGATCTAACCGTTAGGCCTGTGCATACTAATACCAATCACGAAGGAATTTGTCGGCATCCATCTCTTCTAATGATTAACTGGAGTATAATTAAGTGTACATTGCAATTACGCATATATATTTTCCTTGAAAACAATATTAAGAGGTCAGAATAGAACACGTCAAACCCTAGAAACAAAAATCACTCTTCAGCGTTTTCGCTTAATTAACATTTAAGACCTCTGCAAGAGCTCTCACCCCCCGAAATCTTATTTCCGTCGTTTTGTAACCGTTACCTCGCGAAATTCTAAGTCTGGTTTGTGTGTAAAGGTTTAGTGTCAATGTTCCCCTTCCCCTTGTACAGAGTTCCATTTATCTTGAGACAATGAGAGTGTTGATTTAAAATAAAACTTTGTAAATAAGCATTTCATTTTTAATTTCAAATAGAAGAGAAAACACTGTTAAGTTGTTGACCATGGATCCCTGGAGCCCGGGACATCATATAGGGATTGTGGAACTATTTTGAAAATCAATCTATAGTGACTGCACAGAGAACTTTCAGAAGATTTTTTCAGGCACAAGACGCTCCCAGTAAATCCACTATTTTACAGAACGTTGCCAGATTTAATAAAGGAGGATCTGTGGCCACTAAGAAGCACAACCGAACACCCTCAGCGCGAAAAACGGAGACCATACCCACCATTATCGCAGAGATTCAGCGAAACCAAATAAATCCATTTGCCTTATGTCAAACCAGACAGGTGTGAGTGTAACAACTGTTCACCACCTACTCCTCGAAGATCTGATCTTGTATGTTTGTTGTTCAGATTGTGCAGTGCATGGATTTCTTTCGGCTTCGCTGAATCTCTGCGCGCTTATGGTGGCTATCGTCTCCGTTGTTCGCACTGAGGGTGTTCGGTCGTGGTTTTTAGCAGCCAAAGATCCTCCTTATCTAAATTCGGCAACGAATAGTGGATTTAATGGGAGCGTCTCATGTCTGAAATAATCTTCTGAAAGTTCTCAGTGCAGTCACTATTGAGTGACTTTCAATATGAAGTTCAATAATTCTTATATGATGTTCCAGACCCCAGGGATCCATGGTAAACAACTTAACAGTGTATTATCTTCAATCTGAAATGAAAAATGAAATGCTTATTCACAAAGTTTTCCTTTAAACCAACTTTCTCATGGTCTCAAGTTAAATGGAACACCTTGTATATGAATATGATTTATCTACAATAGTGAATGGTTTCAGTACCTAATTATCATCAAAAGGCATACTCTTAAGATAGACTGTGTCTATTGGGATCTCATTTGTCGAAGTAAAAAGAATCGTTTTAAGATTTATTCTGTATGTTAAACTCTGTTCCAGCCATTACACCGCGAAAAACGAAGAAAATTCTTGCGAACCTCTCTTCTCTTGCAAAGACGAGTGAATTTTTGACCAATTCATGTTCAGAGAGGTTTCAGTAGAGTTTAGGACTTTATTCCTAGATAAAATGACAACGTTCAGGTGTCTATACTACAGAAGGCGGTGTACCCAAGTAGTTTTTATTTGAGAGTGCATCATTCGGTTGTGAGAGGGGAAGTTGGAGGCTTTTTTTCTTCGAAACCTTGAGGATCCAATCCGAAAAGATGGGAGGGGGAAGCCGTCGTTCCGCCCACCCTTCTCTCTGTCACATAAGGGCATTCTTACCTGACGTTCGACGTGTTTCCCAGGCAGATGCAAATTTCAATCGACTTCCAGCGCATCCTCAGCTATACGGGATCAAAGGAATTTCAAAGGTTTCCCCGTGGAAGGAACGATTTTTTGTGCTCGATGAAAAATAGTTTCATTTTGAATGAGAATGGAAAAACCAGACCAAATTTCTTTCCCCTCAAGTTAGATTGTCACGTGCCATCACCTACATAACATTTTGAGAGGTTATCGTTGAGTTGTTGAGTGATTTCATGGCCCCAGAACGATTCTACAATTCGTGTCGTCGCACGATTATAATGTTGTTACGGTTATGATGTTGATAAATTATTGTTTCACGAAAGCTACGAAAATTTTCGCGTTCCTGGTCATATTGCCGAATCCTAGAAAACAGACTCAAGACGGAAAGAAAAGATTAGGCAAAGTGGAACTGTTTTCAATTATAGTTATGAACTACGACTGATTCAATGAGTATTCTGAGTCGCAAATTCAGCAACAATGAAGATAAAGTGGTTGCAAAGTTTTAATTTTCATGAAATAAGTTTTTACGAAATAGGGGTTTTTCTACGCCTGACGTGAGTGTAAAATATTCATTTAAAGTTATTATTCAGCAGTTAAAAATAAAAGAACGTTCGTTTTCTTTGCCAGCGTGTATTATTAGCTTCATTCGATCTTTAAGAAAACATGGTTGCGATGTCTTTTTTTGTAGCTTTGTAGTCCATGAATCGCAAGGCTTTGGCTCGTAGACCGCAAAATCTCAAAATAAGTTTGTGTCTTGTTTTGTCCCATTACTCTGATGAGTTAGTAAGATTCTAGTAGGAGAAACTGTAAAATTTCTAGGTAATTTCTAGGTCAACGAGTCAATTTACATAGTTCTGTGGATGGGCAAGCTGGAATCCGCAACACGAACCAGACGTGAATTCCAGCGTGTGCACCCTAGTGAGACCGTTGGTGAAAACACAACCCGTGACAATCTCAAAAATTTCCGCGAAGCCGACAGTGTCCATGATAAAAAGCGGACGTCTGCTACTTTTCCCATCACGAAGACTGCCAGTTTCGTGGAACATTTTGAGAATGCCATGGATTTTGTTCTGAAGTGAGGTTCCGAAGTGAGGATGCGTTGGGCACGTTCATCAGACACTTGCGAATGAGTAGCAAGTTCGTGCAATGGTGTCAGTAGATTGGCGCGAATGAAGTTCTCCGCCTTGATAATGTTGGAATCGGTCACAGTTCTCGTAGGCCGGTCGCTTCGAGCATCGTCAGTGACGTTTACGCGGGCTTCCAAATAACAATTGTATCATTTGAATACAGCGCTCTTACCCAACGCCCCCATATGCTTGCTGTATAACGTCCAGGGTCTCACTAGCACTCTTCTGAAGCCCAACACAAAGTTTATAGCGCGTCATTGGCGGACATGTATAGGAACAGCTTCCTCGGCCGTCATAATGAACACAACTTTCAATATTGTAGTTTATAACGGCGCGCAAAATGCAGACAGGACTGTCACAACTTGCGTACCGTTTGTAGGGAGCGAATCTGCGTGCAAGTTGCAGTGTTGCCATATTACATTTATTCCACAAACTTTTGAATAACCCATCGTAATTTGATGGAAAGTGTGGACGTAGACCGACAAAACAGGCACTCAAGGGCAAGTGAGCAGCTATCTCGAAAGGATTGCTCTTTCTCTTCGCTCGCATGTCGCATGGAAGTTTCAGCGTGATACTCTTAGGGACAGATCGTTGGATTACTAACTTGGATGGTGTCGTGTAATGCTCTGGGGAGTAATTCTGGCACGTGCTCATGTTCAGGATCAATACATAAACAACCTCGAAAGAAGCATACAGCGCTCAGGGCTCCTTTCCTTCAGTGTTACATCAGACTGGTTTGAATGAAAATGGTCCCATTCAAGTGGAGTTTATCATAATAGTTCTCCAAAAAGGGCAAACGAGAAACTCTTCTTCAGCATCTTATGCGAAATCAATACGGATCTTTAGAAAGGAGATCCCCTTGAAACTTTGTCCCGAAAGGGCTATCCCCTTGCCATTGCCGTAGTATAATATAGATTCTATTGCATAAACTGTAGCATATGGGATGTGGGAAGATGTGTTGACGGGCCCTAATGAATTACGCCTTAGGGGTAACCCCGTTTCTATAATGGTGAATTATCCAGAATCCCTGACTGGAGGAAGAGACAGAAAATACGAAGAAGGGGAAGAAGTAGGTCTCAGTTGGAGGCTGGAAACGACATTCCCGGTGGATCCATCTGATGAAGTTTTCACCTATCAATTCCAGGAATCGCCTGTACCGTCCTCGACTGGTACTTTCCCTTGAGCACATTATCACACCTTCCTTTGTAACTGAGTAAAGTACCTTGCTTCCATGCTGATTGCATCCTAGCCACTCCCTCTGTGGACGGGGAAGAATATGATGATGAGGAGGAGGAAGAAGAGGAAGTAGAAGGAGAAGGAGTAGTGGAAGAAAGGATGCCTCAAAAGGAAGAGGGAGAAAGTGGAGGGATGGAAAGGGAAGAGGAGGAAGAGGAAGACGGACGTGAAATTATAGTAGTCCAGGAACCATCTGAGCCAGTTTCCATGACTGATGCTGCAACTCAGGTATGCTTCAAAATTGCTGTACCTCACCTCTCTTTCCCTGCATTATCAAAGATCACTTGCTTAAAGGACAAAGGTCAAATTTCTTTATTAGGTGACGGAGGAAGATTTGGGTATGGGCATGGAAGATCCTCTGCCTGAATCCGACCAACTCTTCTGTTCCAGGCCTAGTGAGTCTTCAATTAAATATTGTGTTTGCATAGAGCCCCCTTCTTCCTAGATGCGCCTTTCATTATTTATTCATATCGGTGTTTGCTTGAGTCATGAAACTAGAAGAGGGCTTCTAGAAAGCTTCCCCTTTTCCGAGAAAAAATGAGAAATGTGTTCCATAATATGTAGATGCGTGGATGGGAGGGCATGTCCTTCAATGGGTTGACATGCCGGATTCCAGTCAAGTGGAAGCGGAAGTACTTAGTCATGCATGGAGGGACGATTATTTCGCGAAGCGATTCCCCATTCCCCCCTTCGCCCCCAAAGCCCCATGCCATCATCACCTGACTGAACAGGGGCAGAAGTTCGACACGGAACTGAAACGACGATTGACAGAATTGTATACGGCGCTTCGGAAGCCAGACGGGGCCTCGAATCCGAATCTGACGGTCTGCGAAGATGGACCAGGACGGAAGCAAGGGGGGTCTGACCTCGGGTATGAAAGTGCAGAGACTGAGAAAGACGTTCGGGGGAATGTCTACGACTCCTCATCGGGTTATGAGAGTGTGGGCGGGGTTGGGACGGGGACACAAGTGGAAGAAGAAAACGAATCCGAGGACGAGAAAGAGGCATGGAGAGATATGGAACTGCTGCAGTACGAAATGGAAGATGTCCTGAGGCTAGAAAGACGGGTGAAAGAGGATCCCCTTAGAAGATCCCTTGCAAATCTACGTCGACGTCATGACAACCTTATGAGACAATTAACGGAGGCAAAGCATCGCCTGGGGATCAACCGACAATCATGGAGCTTTGACGGTGAGAGCATGGTCATATTTCATTCATCTTCCATCCATTCATTTAAAGGGTGTCATCATGCTTTACAATGCAGTTCATGTAGTGGAAAGGATGAAGCCTGATTGCCCGGGGTTCATGGAGGCTCTGGAGCAGGAAACAAAAGTGCTTCACAAGAGAGTTTTGGCGTGTCAGTCTCGGGTCCTTGTTGCTACCTGCTTCGACATCTCTCATCATCCATAGATTAATTTCATCTTTATCTTTCGTTGATCAATAAAGGTGCAATGCTTCAGGAAGTCTCTCTTCTCTTCATATGAATGACTGCATCGGTCAGATTCCCTCCTTTAATTACCAATGATCTACAGGGATTGATAAGTAACTCATAAACAAATCATAAATAGTGCTTAAATAATAGACAGGAAATACGCACATTTCGCAATTTCGACTCAAAGGTTTTTTTTCCGAGTTTAAGCAAGCAGCCTAGGCCATTTGCACAGACGTCTTCAGAAGTCATCAGATGCATATTTGGTGTTATCTCCACGGAGTCAATATGTTGACTGACAGGTTTTACGTTTATGGGATCATTTTATTTAGTAGAACCATTAAATTTGTGGGGTACTCCTCGCATATGGACTTGGTGTCTTCAGTCCGTGGTTAGTTGGACTCGTTGGAGCACCATATACGTCTTCCCTCTGTCGGATATCAGAAAACATCTAAAGAATTGGACTTCATTTCATGCTACAGTCGTGTCTTTTCTGTCTGTCTCATGTGAGTAATAAAAGAAAAAGCTGCATTGCGTTAAAGAGTACTGCGTTACTTATCAAGCTGGTCATCTTCATCCTGACTATTTTCCTTGGCATCCTCATCTGTCATATTGACCCTGTCGATTTGCCTTACTGTGTTTTTCCTACATAACAATACCACCGCATCATCAGAAGAGATCCTGTAGTTAAAAAGTATCCTAGAATTATCCAAACCCCTAGACTCTATCTTTTGAAATACTGGATGACATGGATAAACTGCAATACCTAAACAGTACATGTCCTTTTCTTGACGACGACGTTGACCATGGTGCGCCAACATGTCGGCGATGCAGTTTGATACAAGAAAGAAACCTATTCATTCTCGAACTTCGCCTGGAAGACAATAAGGAGAGGAATGCACCGCCTTCCTTGTGGAGACGTCACGCAAACCGTCATGGCACGGTTCTATGCTTCGCATCCCCGAGCATATGATGCTTGGATGTGACCCGCTCAGGGCAGAGCCCTTCAGTCGGTCGCGCTGTAATTTGCAAGAAGTTCCTCTAAGTATCTTGGACGATCAATATCCGAAAACCTGATCATTCCCTGCCCGTCTGGAGCAATAAGGGCACTATGGCAAAATAGCCTGCAGAGTTAGGGCAAAGCTTAAAAAAGTTAAAAGAAAGAACGGATAGCGAAAGATCCCATCCTAGAAAATTGTCAGGCAGCTTGCGTCATCAGGGGGTTGAGGCCGCAAGTCTGGCCAAACAAACCCTACCCAGAAAGTTTCTACTGCCAGGTGCTACGGCTATGGAATTAAACAGTTAGACTGTACCTAATGCCTCAGAGGCAATCACGGCTTAAGCCTGTCTGTCAGTGCCACAGTTAACGATCGATTTGCTCGATCAGCTACTTTTTATATCTACGTTCTTTACTTATGTATATATATATATATATATATATATATATACAAGGTGTTCATATTTAAACGCAACGTAGGGAATATTTTGCGCCTGTGGGTGGAGTTCGGCGAACGTTATAAGGCTCACATGGCTCACATGGGTTGCATATCTGCAAGGAAACAAACCAGGGAAAGGCTTCATCCTTCCAGAAATGCAACCCGGTGAGCTATAAGGCACGCTCTGAACTCCACAAACAGGCGGCAAAATTTTCCCTATGTTGCGTTTAAATACGAATACCCTGTATATATTGCTTTTAATTTCCGAGTTGAGTCCGTTAGACATCCATCTGGAAATGCCTGGAAAGCACAGCATAGTATTTCATATATTTTAATCGTTCATAATGCAACATTTCTGAATGCCAAAAGAAAGTGATTATTCCCATTTTTTCCTAAACGGCAATCAACAATTACGTAATCAATTTCCTCTGACTTGTTACATTATTTCCAAGAACAGTAGCAACGAAACAATCGATATGAAAGACCTCGAAATTCCTATCGACTGCCTCATTGTTCGTTTGAGAGCGGGAAGGGGACCTCCATCCACCATCGTTTTCTCTTTCTTTCTGAATGGAGGGACATGTGCTTGAGGTTGTTCCATTAAACGGGCCAAAGACCCTTGAAAAGATGTTATTTCCCCCAGCCCAGACCTCTTCTCTTGATTGAACCTTAATCTTTTAGAAACGTAGCCCGTCTTCTCCTTCTTTTCATTCCAGGTGCGAAACGAAATTGCATTAACTCCATCCCATCCATGCAAATTACAGCAATGCATTTCGTGCCGCAGCCCTACCCTGCTAAATTCAATGCTAATGAGAACTGGAAAAGGTTTTAATCAATTTCTTAATCAATTTTTTTTTAGTTCCCTGTAGTCTTCAAGAGGGTAGTTTATGCATGACGTTATTTATGCATGCATCACTTCTTGCTCTCCTTTCATGCATAGTCATGAGAGAGGGAATGACCTCGCAGAGTTAAATCGGGAGGTTTGACGCGTATTTACTTTACTTTACTATTATGTTCCTTCCATGACTATTATGACCTATCCTGATCGGCAAGGTCGAAAAAGCAATTCATTTCAATATTACCATATTAATTCTTTTGAGCAAAGTAATTCTGCCTTGTCGTTCTTCATGCATTATGAGAGGGAGTTGACAAGAATGACCAGCGAATATAAATGCAGATGAGTCAAATTTTACATGTATCTCGTACAACTCTGTGTCCAAAAGAAAATAAACGCCTGTTAATTTTTTTACACTTTTATTTACTATGTTGTGAGATCCGCATTTTTATGCAATGACGTTTAATGTGAATAAATAAAATTTCTGTCTAGTTTAAGTAATTTTATCCAATACTTCGCCCACAATAATTTTTAAAATTTATTGAAAGTCGCAGCGAATAAGCAATATGAGCGCTTCTGCTCGCCACTTTGGCATGCTCCAACATGGTTAGCACAGACGGCAGACAAACTCAGAGATGGGCTTGATTTTTTTTAAATATATAATAAACTCCTGGTCTCATTTGTCATTACTACTGCTCTGCATTTTTCAAATTAAAGGATGTCAGCTCATTTGAAAAATATCTCCTTCCAGCATCTTGTGAACCGCATATCTTCTAGGGCATGACATCTCAGACGGATGGAGAATCAACTAGACCTGCAGAAAAACGTTTAAAAAAATCTCTGAAGACAAAGGAACCGTAATAACGCAAGGTAAGAGACGTGAAAGGAAACCAATTTAGTCACTGAGGCTGCTGGTCGATGCATTCGTCATGCTAAAGAGCGCTGGCTTTTCCGGAAGGAATGATGGGCGGATCGCTTGCTCATTCCAATTTTTTATGCTTCAGAAAGTAATTGAATCCGAATATTACTTTTTTATTTGAGCTAAAATATTCATGTTTTATATTTCATATTCATGGCTTTCGCATGATATCAAATGAAGATATTTGAGAGAATCAATTGGGATCTTTTCTCCACCCACCGTGTGGAAGGAAATTTGGAATGCCTAACAACCTACCACATCTACCATGGCAACAGAAGGTTCAATGTTGCGGGTGAAAGTGCTGCATCGAATTACCGCGAGATTGTCTTGAACAACGGCCCTCAGCACTATTCACAGTCTCAAAAGTCAAATATCTAAATCTAGGTTCTAAACATAAGTAAAGCCAAGAGTAAAATAAAACATGTGATGTTCATCCAAGGCCAAGAGAGGAAATGAAAACGAAGCAGAAAAATTATTAAAATTTTCTAAGAACAGAAACGGAAACAAAATTTAACGGGATGGAGACAACAGAAGCGAACATTTTTAAATGCATCTCTTAAATCGACTATATTTTGCTCCTTTTTGCTTTCGAGTCAGGTTTCCGTTTTGTTTTTTCTTTATTTTCTGCTTTTATTTTTCGCCCATTTCGATGAATTCATAATTTTTTGCGTTACTTTGCTCATTTCAGTCTGCTTCGTGACCTCAGAGGAAGTAGAGAAGGAAATCCTTCGCATAAGCGAATAATACTCCGAGGCAACTACCAATTAATATATTGAATATTTAAATCGAACGTCTGATTTATACATCAATGGCGGGGAGATTGAGCCTAATCATAATTAAGAAACGATGTCACACACTTAAATCCCTCAGATTACGACAATAAAAAGTGACGTTTTACTGTAAGGTAGAAACTTCGCCAATCAAATTTACGATACAAATTTAATACCAACGGAACCCTAAGCAAAAAAAACCAAGTCCCTTTTAAAATGTAAAATGACCGAAACAAAATAATTTAATTTCCCACCCTAGCACTGATCTGGTAGAATGATGCAATTCGAAAGCACTCTCAGCAGAAAGGGTTTGTGCTTCATTTTACGTGAGAAAAGGATTTATGCCGCGGAAAACCTCTGGAGAAGGATTCGTACCTGTTATAAAACCCTCATAAAAATCCTCGAAAGTTTTACAGGTATCTCAAAGAGTTCGTCGGAAACCCTCGCGATCGGAATGAGACTTCCTGTAATCGCTTCTGGATAATTAACTTTTATTCAACTTCCGGTTCAACTTCCATCCTCAAAAAGTGGGTAAGTGCAGAACTTGAGCCGATTCTTAAGAAGCCTTCCCGTAGAAGATTTCTACAAATCCTCTACGGGAAGGCTTCAATTCATAAGGCAACAAAAAAACAACCAACGACTTTCAACTTAAGTTTCTTCGCTTACAACAGAGCGAAACTTTCATTTTGCATATTTTTTTATTATAGTTAATTGTCCATATCAAAAGCCAGACTTGTCATAGATATATCGTTCACAACTTTGACCTGAATTAGTGGATTTTTGCAGCCTTGTTGACTTTCAAATACATGAAAACATGCTACATCTCCAGCATGTTAAGGGAGATATGAATAAAGCAATCGTGTGCTACACTCAATGTCGTTGAACACTCTTGGTCAGACAAAATGGTCCTGGACATTTTAAGACAATACAGCGTGATTCAAAAGTAACTTTACAGCTTCCATGGCTTATAACTTCTTGAGCCTTCGTCACAGCGCAACGAAAGTGGCACCGAAACAAAGGTATAAACTTCAAATTTTATTACCAGCAATTACCACAACTCAATGTGACTACC